TGTAGGGTTAGGGTTAGGAGAGAGCAAGCGCAGAGCCCCAGTGAGAGTGGGACTGGGAAGGGGCTGCCAAAGAAAGGCAGGTGAGGGCTGCCCAAAGCTTTCAGTCCTGGGATGCTTTTTTCTGTGATCCATAGTTTTTTGTCATTGTTTGCAGACCCAACGTGAGGTCTGCACAGGTCCTTTGGACATGTCTCTATCTCATTGCAAGATTTTTATCAATAAAGTTTCCTGTGTTTTTAGGTTAGAAGATACCTTTGCTACTATATATCTTTTAGCTCCCCTCTTAAAGCCATTATGTGTTTTCCCTTCATCGTTTTTCATGCTATCAGCTTTCCTGCCCCCCATACTTGCTGTCATGGCCAGTGTCTGGAGTGAGGTCTGGGCTCAGGCTCTTCACTGAGTTAGGACCCAAACAACCTATTTGCAAGTCCCTTCTCTGATTTTCATTCTTACCGATTGCTTTTCAATGCCATGTTTCATCCAGTAAAACGTGTCTTGTCCCTCACCTTGCATAGATGGTTAAAACAGAAAGGGAAAGTTTTTTTCTTATTCTTTATCTTTATTTTTTCCCTTGGATATTTTTGAAAGTATTAAGTGTCAGCATGACCAGATCCATGTCAGGATCCATTGAAACAGAGGACGATGTCTCTGACACATGGAGATGTGCATGTCCATGGTGCACATACGTTCCTGCTGTAATGGCCGAGCCCTGTATCCTCAGGGAACTGGGAGGTGCTGGGAGCTGGAGGGTCCCAGCACCACCTCCCTGCATGCTCGAAGAGGTTGCCAGGACATCGCACAGCTTGCTTTTTCTTGGCCAGAGCACTGGGTGATGGGTGATGAGAGGTGAGAGCAGTGCTTCAGGCGCCTGAAGCTGACTCAGAAACTCCATGTATCACCTTCATCTCCGTTGGGGTGCAGGCAGCGGGGCAGGCACCTGCCTAAAGCGTGCACGTCCACATATGCAGGCAAAGACGGGGCTGGGAGCATTTCCAAACCCCGTGCGTTTGCCCTCCTTGGAGTGAAGTCTCCCTCCCGGAGCCCTTCTGCTGCTGCGCAGAAGCATTCACATTTTCAATTAAAAATGAAAATCCAATCTGTTGCTTGATTATTAATTTTTTTCCCCTCCTTCTGGCTGAGCAGGACTGGCAGCGTTGCGGCTGCCTGCGTGGGAGGTGTCTCCTGCCTCCTGTTCGTTGCCTTCCCGTCCTGCCCACGTGGTTGGGAGGGTTCAGAGATCCGGGGCTGGTGATGCCCAGGCTGGTGATGCTCAGGGCAGGTATCGGGTACGGCTGGGCTCAGTGCGGGGCGTATAGCTTTCCTTTACAGCTTCGCTGATGTGTGGGGCAGGGTTAAGGCTCACTGACAAAATACACTTCCCAGCGCATCACGCAGCAGCAAAACATGACGTTACGTTCTGGTAATGTCAGAGAGCTGCTTAACTCTCTGGAAAGTTGTGTTTAGCAGGGCGTGAAGCCCAGCCCAGGCCGCTCCTGCCACTGGAGCTGCCAGTGTGGTGCTTTCAGGGTATCCCTGGTGCCATCCAGCCTTTACTTCCCCGGATGGTGTTATTGCTTATCTTCAAACATTTCCTTCTTCAGTGGCGTACCTCCTGCAGGGCTCTTCTCCTGCCTTCGCCGGGGGGAAGCTGCATCCCTACATGCCTTTCCCCGGGAGGCACTGTGATTCGCCCCCAGCACCTCCTGCGAGCACAGAGCAGGTTCTCCTCCCCAGGGCATGCAGGCAAAGTCAGCCGGCAGCGGGCGCATCACCAGGCTCGGTGAGCTGGCGCCCGTGAGCGCTGCTGACCTCCTCCACGCTTAACAATGCTGAGAGGTGATGCAGGATCAGCTAAACGCAACATCCCTGTGATTAGCACAGCTTCCTTTATGGGTGGCACTGAATAATTGCAGTATGAACCCCTTTGTACTTGCACTCCGTGGTGCCTTGGAAGTGCTCATCATCACTCGCTCCCCGATGGCTGATTTGAGCCTTATTTGTGGTGCCCAAGGACTGAGCTTTTAGCTTACTTTTGCCCACAATTTACCTTGGGAGCAACTCTGCATAAGGAGATGTTTCCCACTTAGCTACTTGATAAATACTTATTTTTTGAGTAGACTCAGGGTGTTTGGCAGTGGGATGGCAAAGCCGAGTCTCGTGTCCCCTCCTTTCGGATACGACTCGTGGGCAGATAAGGAGGGAGGCTGGTCCCTTGCAAGGTTCAATACCTTCCCGAAACAAGATGCAGTGACCCCCTTGCTGGTGAATTTGCAGAGCTGTTGCAATCTGCTTGATGGCCAAGTCTGCCGCAGCGGCTCTGCTAATCGGTAAAGCACGCGTGAACCCCTGCGTCGGAGGTTCTTTGTGCCGGTGCTTCTGCTGCAGAGCAGCGAGGTGTTGCTATGTTGACACAGCGCAGGTCAACAAGCAGTTAAATGGAGTGAAAATATTTGTGTGCGCGTGTGTGTGAGTGTGTGCTTCGTTTGTATCATGGTATGAGGTCTTTGTGGGATGGAGAGGGGGCTCAGGGTGGTTAAGAAGCCACGAGGTTAGTCCCTGCTCCGCAGAGCTGCTCTTACTGCATCAATTACTCGTGTTGCATAGCTTAACTTCTGCCCAGGAGGGCCTTCTCGGAGGCTGACCATGCTGCAGGCCACAACCGCAGTGGCTGCCCAGCTGTTGCTGGCAGTGTCTGTTTGAGAAGCGGGCAGTGCTGCCTGGTCTCCCCGCTCACCTGCTCATGGCCATGGTCTCCCTCTGGGTGCACTAAACAAAAATAGATGGTTTTCTGGTGCAAATACTCATGCAGACTTTGCGTGGCTGTTTGCTCCAGCCCTGCTCATTTGATGCATTAGGTTATTCCCAGAAGAAGAGTGGAGGCACCTGAGTTAAGCACCGGTAGTGGGATATGGCAAGTCCATGCTTTAAACCAAGCTGTGGTGGGCTGGCTACCACTCTGGGTTGTCTTCTCTCCAGCAAACACCACATGTTGGTTGGCTCTTGTGTTGTCCTTCTTCTGAAAATGTTGGCGCTTGTTGTTTCAACCGCACTGTGGTCTTTCTCTTCTCTTGCCTACCAGATCCTGGCCTGGTTTGAAGAAGGAGAGGAGACCACGACAGCATTCGTGGAGCCCATCGTCATTATTATGATCCTGATCGCCAACGCCGTGGTGGGTGTGTGGCAGGTAAGTCGCAGCCCCAGCCCGCCTGCCCCGCAGGTCTCTGCTCCACAGGGCTGAGACGCTTCATTTGAAGGTCTGGTTGCTTCTTGCTGTTAGAAACTCGTTTCTCAAAAGTTCAATTTTCATGTGGGCCGTGCTGCCCCGTGCCCCAGTGCAGATGCTCAGTCATTGGCTGCCTCTTGGCTTGTTCCTTCAATCTTTCTTTGGCAACTTTTGCAGTTTGGAGTTTAGGATCTTGCACTTACTTGCCATCCAGGCAAACGCTGCTTGTCTCCTGGCCATGGCCAAATGCGTTTTCCAAGGGAAGCTTTTTGCCCTGTCCACCAGAAAGCCACGGTGGCTGCTGCCCCTTGCCTTGCTGTATCCCTCCTGGGGGATGAGTAAATGCCTCAGCCAGCGATGCTCCTCTTCTTGTACGTGTTCGCTTTAAGGCCATTTATTTATCTGCAGCTTGATATGAGGTAGGGTTGCTGGGTGGGGAAAAATACATCTGGGTGGGATATGCTGCTTCCTAAACCAAGAATGAGAAAATCAAGCTCAAAGATCCATGCAGTGTCCAGGACCTGGTGTGATTTAAGCCAGCAGGGACCATTTCAGAGCTGCTGAAGAGGACGTGGCACTTGCCCCATCCATGGTGCAAATGGACGCCAAAGCCAGGGCTGGGGTTTGGGTGCTCCTGTCTTTGCAGAGGGTGGGGAAGGAGCCTGCCAGCACCAGCAACCCCACCGCCAGCAGCTCTGCTCCTCCTCTGCTTGCAGGAGAGAAACGCTGAGAGTGCCATCGAAGCCTTGAAGGAGTATGAGCCCGAGATGGGGAAGGTGATCCGTGCCGACCGCAGCGGAGTGCAGCGGATCCGCGCCCGGGACATTGTCCCCGGGGACATCGTGGAGGTGGCAGGTAGGGTGCCATCACCCAAGGGCACGGGGTGCGATGGGGAGGTGGTGCTGGCCAGGGGGGCTTCGGTGACGGGCACCCCATGGTCCTGGTGGTGGAAGGGCTCTGCCTCGACATCCCGGCACATCTTCTCTGGAGGCACAGCCACTGAGTCACCTCGTTGTTGTACAGTTGAGATCTTATTTTCTCTTCTCAAATCCAGAGAGGTGAAATGATTTGGGCCAAGGTTGGAGTTCATCAGCCTGCCGAGGCCTCGCCCTGAGCGTAGAGTAGTAGAGAACAGCAGAAAAGAAAAAAAAGTAGTGTATATTTCTGGCGCAGGTTTTGTGTCTCGGGAGGGTTTCCCCGTTTTCTGGAAGAACTGGAAGAACTTTTAATTTTCCGCCAAGATTCTCCCTGGAAGCAGCTGTCCCACGTGCATCCCCCGGACAAGGCGTGGGTGAAGGGCCGGTGCTGGGTGCTGCTCCGGCGGTGCCAGGCGAGTGCTGCCAGTGCAGGGGGGTTTCAACGCTGCAGGCAGCGGCGCTGGTCCTCCCTGCGTGGGCAGGCTTCCTTGGTAACTGGGGTTTGTTATTTGGGGAGGGCGAGAGGCAGAGGGGACCGGCTGCAGGGTGCTTTTGCCTCCCCGGTCAGGTTGTCCGCCCCCGGGCCCTTCTGTCGGGGTTTTGCATTCAGCGAAGGATGCCTGGGGGTCTCCTGCCTGCCCCACCAGAGCTAAAGAGGATGCATTTCAATTATCCCATTTTGTTTGTTCGTTAAACGATGCCGTAAACCCCCAGAGCCGCAAAACTAATCCTCTCCTTTCCTCCTCGTGGCCCTGCTAGTGGAAACATGCTGCAATCCCTCCCGTGCCCAGCCAGCTCACTGTTATTTATGTCTTCCAGTTGGACTTCAGCTGGAAGATGAATGTAAAAATAAGGCAGTGAGGATCAAGCGGAGGAGTGCCGGCCAGATCCTCAGCTGGGTGAGCTGGCGGTGCTCCCAAGCCAGCTCCAGCAATGCACTCCAGCTGCTGACCTGGCCTTTAATTAAATTAATTAATTATTAATTAATTAAATTCTGCCATCTTTCCCCAAATTAAGTGCTTGCTGCCTGTCCATCAGCAGCCGAATATTACTTTTTAATGGCACAATCA